TTCACATAGGTGGAACTGGTAAAAGAAAGGAGCCAGGGGCTCCTCCCAAGCCCATGAGACCCCCGAGAAACAGATCCTCAAACGACCTTAAGAGTAAAAATAAATCGGTTTATCTGGTCCAACTGTATGGCCTTCAACACCCAAAAGGAAAGTATAACCAAAGATTAAAGGGGCCAATATAATTTCATAACTCCTTATGTATGGCTAAAGGCTACATAAGAAGAAACAACGCCAGACAGGCAACACCTTCTTTTGATTTGTTGGCCAAGGTGGCCAAAGGGATTCCCAGACAGAACTGGAAAAATGAACAACAGACCCCAATCTTATCCAAAGGAATATTGACAACTGATTACCACTAGATGAGGACCAGCTGACCCTCCTCAAACAACGACCTCTAGATAGGCTGACTAGATTCACCAGAATGGCAAGTAGTGGGGAATGGCTGGGGGTGCTGACAACACAGCAGACAGTAGCAGGGATATCAGCGTATAATGGCTGTAGTTGGGGGGGGGAGGCTATGGGAGGGTGCTATCTGGGAAGTGGGTGTAAAAATTAAAAAAAAATAAATTAAAAAAATTTTTTAAATAATTCTTCAAAGCATAAAAATTTGCTCCTTAATAATTAGTAGATGTGCAAAACATTACCATTGAAATCTACCTGATGACTTTACATTCATGCTCAGGTGCCAAGGATCTTAGAAAGTAAGTGACTGTGACTAGTAATAATCAGATACATAGAGATTAGAGACGCATGTACAAACATCTAAGTGTTATTTGCATTAAAAATGAGCTTTTCTGTATGAAACAGTAGATTCTAAAATGAAATAGAGATCTTTTTTAAAGGTTAAAACCTCATTCAGTTTTAGGTTTTATAGGGTTTATACTGAGTACAATAATGTATAACTGTATTAATTCATGTGTAAACCTAAAAGTTTACAGTGTGGTTATTAAGTAAATAATTTTAAAAAATTATAAAACACAGGGGCTGGAGAGATGGCTCAGTGGTTAAGAACACTGGTTCTTCTTGCAGAAGACCCGGGTTTGAATCCCAGCCCCACATGGCAGCTAACAACTGTCTATAACTCCAGTTCCAGGGGATGCAACAGCCTCTTCTGGCTCCACCAGCATTGCATGATACAGGTGCACTTACCTACCAGGCACACACATAAAAATAATAAAATATTTTAAAAATTATAAAACACATACAGAATTTATGGAGAATAATGAAATTGTATACGTAATAGCTAGTATAGTGCTTATCACTCAATAAAAAGAATTTTCCTCTCCCTCATCATTAGAGTGAGCATCCTTCTTAGAACAGGCTCTACTTCACACAGTCAGAACTGAAGACTGCACTCAATCCAGCTCAGCTTCCTGGTGATTGGTAGAGAGGGAACCTGTCCTACACTTTTGTTGAGGCCTCTGTGCTTAATGCCGGATGCCTGCCCCACCACTCTGCTGATCTTGGATATGAAAGCTTCCTAAGAAAGATCTTTTAGCACACCAAGCCTCTCCTGTCCACATCAGTGATGAGCCAATGTGTGGCTGGAGCAGAATTCACTTGTCTCACTGGTCCTATCCTGGCTTAACACACTAACAGCAAAAGACTGCAGTTAATTTTAATATTAATTATATTAATATTAGTTATATGTAATGCCAAAATATGAAGCAAAAATAATCCATATTGGAAGTGTGCATCAAAGGATTTTTGCCAGAACCCCCTTTTAAAAAATATTTTACTTATTACTTTTAGTGTATAATGCCTGCATGTGTGTATGTGCACCCCTGTCATGCAATGCCTGTGGAGGTCAGAAGACAATGGATCCCCCGGAACTGGAGTTAAGGACGATTGTTAGCCACCATATGGGTACCGGGAACTGAAGCCAGGTCCTCTGCTAAAGCAGCCAGTGTTCTTAACCACTGTGCCATCTCTCCAGACACGCCAGAGCACTTTTGTTCACGAATATGTTTTACAAAGTAAGAGACAGACTTAGTTTTATGTTCTTACCATTGGGCTGTGAGGAAAGGTTTCTTCTTTTTCCTTCTTATAAAACTCTTACCATTCTGAGCACCAGTGCTTTAATAACTTGCTAAGCTCCACTTGAGGCCTGAAAACAATGGCGTCCTAAAAAGGCTAACACAGTCGCTATATTTTACACAGAGCCATGGAAGTCACTTGGATTGTCTATTGCTAACATAGTACAAGAATTGATTCTAAATTTTAGAAAACTGTGACAAAGTCAATTCCAGACAACTTAGTCTGACATTAAAAACAGCAAACACAGTAAAAATTCTTTTTTCAGATAAAGTCTATGTACGCTGGCCTGGAATTATGTACGCTGGCTGGTCTCTAACCCACCAGCTGCCTCTGCCTCCCGCGTGCTGGAATGAAAGGAGTGCGCCACCCCGACTAGCCTTCCTTCCTTAACCATTTTGTGTTGCGTTGGCGACAACCTCTGCTGGGTTAGCGGGTCTGTGTCTGCGCAGGAGTGGAGGGGCCCAGCATGCCCCGCGGCGGAAGCGGAAGCGTGCAGAGGAACATCCCGAAGCCATTGGTGCCTCTTGGTGGGTCCAGAAGTTCCAGAGCCCTGGGCTCTGAGTGCCTGGATCAGGTGTTTCTACAGGGACTGTCTTCACGGCTTCGTTCCTCCTGCAGGTAGTTTCTCCTCAGACTTGCCCAGCCGCCATCTTCACCCGAGGGTGGCTGAGGGAGAAGTGCAGCTCTGTCCTCGAGAGCGCTGAGGGAGAGGATTGCCACAGGTGCCCCTTGTAGGATTCTAGAAGCTTCCTTCTCAGGCCTGTGGCAAACCCGGGGAGTTTATGATTCATTTACTTAAGCAGCTCTTTAAAGAGTAAAGACTAGAAAGCTGTGGTGATCCCGTGGGTCACCAGCGTACAGGACAAGTGGGCAGGGAATGTTCTGGAAGTTGTGCAGCGTTAAACCTCCTTTCGTTTGAGAACAGACCATTACAAGAGAAGCCCGGAGGGCCAAGTGTTATTTTCAGATAGGGAAGTGGGCCTCAACTGAGGCTTGGTGATTGCCCCAAGTTACATGGCTCTGGAGTGGCTGAGCTCTTTCTTGATTTCTAGTATACTTCTCCGCCCTGGTTTTCTGATTCATTTCTAAACCTCAGCAGCACACTCTTGGGGGATTACTGACCCCAATTCCTTTATCACTTGTCAGTGCTCAAAAATCACTTATGATACCGTTAGTTAAATTGTTTGCAAATCTATGAATACGGGTATGAAGAGATGAACAAATGCGTTACACATACGAATTGATGCTCAAAATGTAACTATAGACTTTGCCGTATATGCAGTTATATGAGAGTATTATCAAGTAATTGTCATTAGCTAGACAATTAGGTATTGTGTGTGGGCCGGGTGGGAGAAGTGGATTGCACCCCTTTCCCCAGCCAACTCATTTACTCGATTCACTGTGTATCAAGCATGGATTAGGTACAGCAGAAAGTGTCTCTGCTCTCAACGAGCTAGTTTATCATTCATTCATTCATGCACTAAATGAGGAAATTATAGAGCAGCTGGTTTCAACTCAGTAGGAAGCGCTTTCTAATTATTAGAGTTGTTCAAAAGTAGAATGAAACTGCCTTGGGAGATTAATTCACTGTCACTGAAAGTGACTTTCATTTGGATTAGATGGTTTCTAAATTTTGCTTGGAACTACTTCTGTATTAAGTGACATACAGAATATAACTTTGGTTGACATTAAGAAGCTTACGGTTTAGTTGGTGAAATGAAGTACACCTGTAAACAATCATGTTGAGTAATGTGCTAAGTGCTCAATATAGTAAGATTCTGAGTGAGTCTCTGAGTTTGAGGGTTAGTTTCTTGGAGGAGACAGGATTTTTAATGAGCTTTGAAGGAAAAAGTATGTGTTTATTTTTAAGTATTCTTAGAAAAACAGATTTACACAAAAATTGAGACAGTAATGTAGCATGTTCCCATATAATCTATGCTCAGCTTCTATTAATAATCATACCTTATTCTCATTCCTTTGCTATTGACATATTAGAGGGAAGAGTTTATTTGGGCTTACAGTTCCAGGGGGATGAGAATCCATCATGGGGGGAGGCATGGAGGAAGCAGGCATGACAGCTTGGGCAGGAGGCTGAGAGCTCTCATCTTCAAGTAGGCACAGGAAGCACAGAGAGAGCAACTGAAGTGGAGCAAGGCTGTGAACTCTCAAAGCTGGCCCCCATGGATGTACTTCCTCCAGCAAGGCTGCACACCTCCTAAACCTCCCCAAACAGTGCCACCAACTGGGGCCAAGTGTTCAGATACCTGAGCCTATGGGGCCATTTCTCATTCAAACGCTGGTATGCATCTACTACAATTAATGACCCAGTGTGGCTAAAGTATTATTACTTAAAGTCCAAGTTTATGAAATGTCTTTATACCTAATGTAATTTTTTTCTATTCCTAGATAATAACTAAATAACACATTAAATTTAGGTGAAATATTTCCTTTGGTAGTTTGGCTATGATCATTTTCCAGATTTATTTTGATGAATTTGACTGCTTTTATGGACTGTTATTCAGATCATTTGTAGGGTGCCTTTTTTGAAATTTACTATTTTTCATATGATAAGACTAGTTATGGTTTACTGGTTATGGTTGTGATACAGAAAGACTGTATCACAGCAAAGATACATGCCCGCAGCATGATTATGGCTCTCAGTGTAGACTGTGACCAGCTGTGTGAGGTAGTATTCATTATAGTTCTCCAGTACAAAGTAGTACCCATCCCCTTTCCATACTGTACTCTTTGGTTGCCTTGTTTCTTCTTCTTTTTTTCGGAGCTGAGGATCGAACCCAGGGCCTTGAGCTAAATCCCCAACCCCCCATATTTTACTCTTTGGAAGAAAGCCACTCTGTGCATCCTCACCTAAAGTTTCCTAAAGTTGAATCTGCATCAGCTATATGGAATATCTCCCTTATTTGTGTTTCTCTCTCCCTCCCTCCCTCCCTCCCTCCCCCCCCTCCTGTTGTTTCATGCACCTGGCACCTGAGTGTGCAGGTGAGCATACAGGTATGTGGCAGCCAGAGCAGGGTGTCAGGTATCTTCCTCTGTCACTCTCTATTGCCTTGAGACAGAGTCTCTCACTGAACCAGAAGCTCTGGACTCCCAACCCTTCTTTACTTCTTTTTTTTTGTTTTGTTTTGTTGTTGTTGTTGGTCTTTTTGAGACAGGGTCTCTCTGTAGCCCCAGCTGGTATGGAACTCCCTATGTAGACCAGGCTGGCCTTGAACTCACAGAGATCCATCTGCCTCTGCCTCCCTGGTGCTTGGGACTAAAGGTGTGTGCCACCACACTTGGCTCCTTTTTTCCCTTTTTTGTTTGAAATAGAATCATGAAGTTGCCCAGGCTGGCCTGGATTTGGGATTTTCCTGAATAGCCTTCTGAGTAACTAGGAAGAATATAGGCCCAGCTCACTCCCAAGCGGGTATAAACAATGTCATATTGTTACTATGACTAGATTTCTTCCTCACAAAAGTGCCACAAAAGACAGTCTCTTGTCTGCATTTTATGAACAAGGCAGCTGAGTTTTTGAGAGGTTAAATGTCTGTCTGACTGTACATAACCAGTAAGTGACAGGGCTGGAATTATTTTTAAGGTAATTCTTTGACAATTCCATACATGATGTGATGTGTTCTAGTTATTCTCCCCTCCTGCCCTCTTTTATCTCTTCCTAGCCCTGCTCAGCCCCAGGACTGGAATTTTAATCTAGGTAGACAGCCCTGAATTTGTGTTAGTAATCATTGTTACAGGGCTCAGACCTGGCAGGAGTCTTTTGAAAGTAACAAATACTGTGTGTTTTAGCTTTTAACAAAATCTAAGTACTCTTGATCACATTTATTTGATCTACTATTTGAGGATGTACAATCTCTGTAGTTCCCACTTGGTAGATTTTTTTTTTTTTTTTACTAGATAAGCATTGTCCTCCTGAGTTTGTCTCAATTCCCAGCCTAGATGGACATGCCCAGCAGCAGCTTCCCTTCCTTTAAGAACTGGATAGTGTTGGGCGCCAAGGCATGCCTACCGTCCTAGCTACTTGGGAAGCTGAGGGGAAGGATCACTTGATTAGGACCAGGAGTTTGGGCCTGGGAAACCAAGCAAGGTCCAGACAAAAGAAAGTAACACACAGACAACTCAGGTATAGCTGCCTTCTTATCAGAATTTGATATCCCAAACTTTGTGGATTTTGTGCTTTGATATATGAAAATGGCAGCTTTTTACAAAAATGTAGGAAATCTGTGTTGGTAATTAGAACTTTCCTATTGTACAGTTTTTAAATACCTTACCAATGAAAGAAGGTGCTGTAAGCACAAAAATTTTATTTGTAAACAGAGCAGGTTATTATCTCTGAAAGTTGAAAGTGTTTTACCTTTTGGGAAATAATTGGAATGTGGCAATTTCTGACACCATTTCTCAGTGAATATCAAAGTGTTTCAAAAAGAGTCTTTGAAACTTTATATAACAAAAGATTAGTTTTGCTTTCTTTGATTCATCTGCCTTGGCATTAATTTTGTTTCCATAGCAGCTAGAATAGGCACCTAATAATGGAGAACCTAGGGAATATTTTAACTATCCCTGGCATCAAACACCTCTATTTCTTTCTTTCTTTTTTTGGGGGGGTGGGGGGCTCACTGTTTGGACCAAGCTGGTCTCCTGCTCACAGAGATCCACCTGCCTCTTCCTCCTGAGTGCTGGGATTAAAGGCATGCACCATCACACCCAGCTTCTATATTTCTTTTTTGAATATTTATTGTGTGTTCATGGTGTGTTGACCTGGGATGGGGGGGTGACACAGCACACATGGACAATTTCGTGGAGTCAGTTTTCCCATTCCACCTCTATGTGGGTTCTGAAGATCGAAGTCAGGTCCCCACAACAAGTTCCTTACCCTCTTCCTGGTCTTGTACTTCTTTTGGACACAGCAGAATTTGCTAATTTTAAAATGACACATTTGGGCTAGGGTTAGTTTAGTGGAAGAGTACATGGTTAGTATGTGTGAGACCCTGGGTATACATACACCCTCCCCACAAGAAGAAAGAAAAAATTATATACTCATTAAACATTTTTAAAACTATTGTAAAAAAAAAGTTTTTTTTGGCCTTTTTGAGACAGGGTCTCCCTGTAGCCCCAGCTGTCCTGGAACTCACTATGTAGACCAGGCTGGCCTCGAACTCAGAGAGATCTGCCTGCCTCTGGCTCCTGAGTGCTGGGATTAAAGGTGTGCACCACCATGCCTGGCTAAAATTTTAACCAGGCTATGGATGTAGCCCAGTGTTATCACATTTGCTTAGCACATGCAAAGCCTTTGATTTAATCTCTAGGAGAGTGAGGGGGAGGAAGAGAGAGATGAGAGAGAGAGAGAGAGAGAGAGAGAGAGAGAGAGAGAGAGAGAGACTGATTTTGAGGCTAATATGGTTGTCTCTGTGTATGCATATTGAGTTAGAGTTGGCATGTAATAGATTGCAGTGTATGATGCAGTGTTTGACACATGACACCTGTGAAACCATCACCACAATCAATATTGTTAGTAAATTCACTGCCCCCCAAGTTTCTTCCTGCCCTTTTGTAGTCTCATCTTTCTGCACCCATTACTTCTTGCTCTGAGTTTTTGTCACTGT